AATGCACCCAGGAGGAGGCTGGTCACATGTAGCTGAATTAATTTGAAGGTCCCATATTTTACACTACACAGTGTTTTAGTAGAAGTGTTGATATCCATAAGAAGATATAGTATGTATGGTTTTAAGTAGCAAAAACCTTTTCAGTGTAGTGTAGTTTTACATCTCCTCTCTCAAACTTCTCTCTGGAGCTCTAGTGACAACAGGTCGGTCAGCCAATCAGAAGAGAGGTTCTGATCCTCTCTTCTGATTGGCTGACTGTTTTCTGACTAATTGAATAACAAAATAGCAAGTTTCAGGTAAACACTCAGAGAAACCAAATCCTGCAAGGCTGGACAGTGGGTCCAGGTGAGCAGGGCTCAGGGTGGTGACTGCTTTGTTGTGACATCACAAAGTTACAGAAGTCCTGGAGGCTTGTTTTAAGGCTCTGAATAAAGGCTGTGTGAATTTCTCTGTGGACTGAGTGCTTTGATACTTTCACAGTATTAACATAGAACATTGACTTGCTTTCTAATCAAAAAAGACATGGAAATCTTAATTAATACAATGTGGGACCTTTAAACCATTAGTCTGTGTAGCAGGTCTCTCTCTGGTTTCAAACCTACAGCTCAGTTTACAATAAGTGATAACTGTGTGTTTCTCAACAGGTCATGGCAGGATCTTTGGTGGACAAATTAGGTTCAGCTGGTGCATAAAAGTATGTCATTATATAGCCAACCTATCAAGGTATAAGCTGCAGTGACAGAAACACATACACACGGTTGATATCTGTGTTCTGACCTTGAGCCTGAAATGTTCTCCTACAGTTCTAATAAGAATTTAGATTCAAGGTAGTATTGTATGTGTTCATTATGCAAACAACACCTACACATAACTAGATTGTGTTCTGGTAATCCATCAGCAAAACCATGAATAACTGGTATTATTTCTTAAGAATGCTCAACTTCAGCGCTGTTTGGTACATTTCTCTCACTGAAAACCCCACTGTAAACAGAAGAGAGTTCAACCCAGCTTGAAAACAATGTCATCTGAAAAAAAAAACAGCCCCAAACAATCTTAAATACCATTAGTGCTTTTAGAGCAGCTGCAGTGGAGGTTGTATGGGCTTGCTAATGCCCGCTTCAGACTGCCCACGTTCAAATGACGTTTGGTTTGGGTGGAACAGAGTCTCAACAGCACAAACAAATCTATTCTTGTTGCTGAAGGACAAAACAGATTAAGTTTTCCATGGAAATCTTTTCATTTGGGTTCTCTTACACAAGTTTGGACTTTTTGTACTCTAACAGAACTGTACGTTGCAGAGGTCTGCTTATGATATTTAGTTTTAGCTACTGCAAATACACCAGCTGTACTAGCAATACACATTTATAAATGAAAGTTTGTCTAAAAAAGAGCCATTGGTTGGGAAATGTAGGATCCACCATTTTTTAGTAGAAGGGACTAAAACTTGGTATGTTTTGGCTACTGTTATATTGATTTTGGTGATTGTTCTTATAAATCTGTCTCTCAGAAGTTCAGCAAAATGATGGAAGTGTAACACAAAGTATTATGTGTGCCTAAAGAGTTTTAAAGGAGCTATTTGTAAGCTTTTTTACTGCTACATAGCTAAAATTAGCATTAACAGCTGTTTACTTCTAGAAGATATGTTGCAAGTTCAGCATCAAACTTCATTCCTTTACTCACCAAGAGCTGACTCCAGCTAATGCTAATGTTAACTCTTGTCTCTATCATGTGTTTTCTTCTAATGAATTAAGCATGCTAACCAGCTAGCCCCGGCCCAGCTCGTCACTTTCTGACAGCGACTCAATTTGGCTTTCAATCTGCCTGTATCTGATGTAGCGGAGGGTTGAGAAGATGATGTATTCTTCTAATCGTTTGTCTGTTGTCGATAAAGTCTTTTCTGTGGACCCCAGCTACCAAGGTAAAGAAATAAGCAAATATGCTTCCAGTTTTTAAAGTAAAAACTTTTCAAGCAGTAGCCTAACACTTAAGTACTTTACAGCAAAGTTCATTTGTTTGTGCATACAGACAAATAGAAATGCATAATACAATCAGTTTCCCCCCTTCCACAACAGTCTAATTCTATCCAATGGAATTGTTCTGCCATAAAATCTAGTTTTACAACACCTGTATTTTTCAGTTTTTCTTGACACGGTCATCAAAATTTAAAAAGGGACAACTTGTCTTGTTCTCTGTAACGCATAACAGAACAATGTCTCAAAGCACATGTGCGCAAGTACATAAATTATACATACAAACCTATATAAAATGAATGAGACAGGGTGATGAAAACAGTGATTACAGTAATAAATCCAGGTATAGTAATGTGTGATAGAAGACAGTAGTTCTACTACTAATGTGCTTGACTCTGCTGTACTCTATTGTACCCAGAGGTTTCTCTAGTATTCCTCCCCAGAAAACACCTCTCAAGATAATGAAGTCCAATGAATTGCAGTAAGTAGTAAAGGGACCACTGAGTGTGTAACATGTTAAATGTCTATAATCTGCCTTCATATCATAGCTTTCTAAATCAAACATGCAGAAGTCACTGTCCTGTCTGTATGTGGGTGACAACACTGTTTCTGCTATCAGTCACTCTTAAAGGAGCCGAGGGTTTCATTAGTGCCTCAACAGCCAAGAGCTCTACTGCAGATTTAAAACAGTTCAGTCTTACTGGGCAACAGCAGCAACACAATGAAGCTAAAAGCAGCCAGACCTCTGATCTTCAAATATATATGTTCATATTACTGTGGAAGGTTCACCACACACTTTCTTCATGCGTTTATATTGTGTAGTTCTAGTCCTGTACTCATTATACACTGATTTTTAACCATTATATATCTAAATATATCTGTCCCCCCTCATGACGTTTTTATACATGCAGGGTTCTATGTAGGCTTTCCATATTCAACAATAATCGTATCTGTTGTTACTTGTCCCAGTCTTTGTCCCTCTGACTGGGAAATCTGCAGCTGATGGTGTGACTCTGCAGACCCTTCTAATACCATAATCCAGATTTATGTCATAGATTCAACCATACAGTTCCACTCAGCGTGCTCTTGTGTGGAAACTGTTCAACATGCGTCTGTGAGTGGGTGAATCACGTCATTTGTCCACGTTTAAATTTGGTCTAATCTTTTAACATTTAGCTTCCGCGCAGTCTGATTTCTCCCCAGAAATAAGTCAAGTTTTATTATGTGACCCTACTAATGCCAGGCACACACTCAAACAGATTGCCTCTACTTCCCCTCTCAGCTCTTAGCCCAGAGTGTCTATAAATTGTCTGATAACACAAAGGTCTGCTCCTCCTGTGTGACTTGTAATGCGTCCCACTGACAGGCACTCTTATCTGATGTACAATTAGGCAAGGCATTTGCTTGATTGGATTGTAATCCTCTATTGTGAAAGTAAAGGAGTCACAGGCTATTTTTAGGCCTATTTGGGAATATGACAAAGCTTTAGTCAGAGGGGTGATGGAAAATAAAAGGCTGCATTTTGTTTATGGACCCCCTGCACAAAGCTGCTTGCTGCCTGAATTTGAAGTGTTACAGTGCCACATGTATTTACTGTAAGCTTGGGGGTTTGTTCTTACAGCCTGGATTTGTGCATTGATGTTTTCTACAACTATCAGTAAATAGAATACATCACCAGACACACCACCCATCAAACACCAATCAAAGCCAGTTTCAGGTTGTGTATTCCTATTTAGTTCAAAGGTCAGCTGGTGTATAAAAACACTGCTCACTAAATTAAGTTTAAAAGTTTTGCTCATCTGTCTGAACTGAGCTCATTGAGTGTAGCTACACCACCAGCAAACAAAAGTATTTGACGTTTGGAAGTTTTTTATTTGAATATAATAAAACATGTGAATGCAAGTAAACTGGAAGCTGAAGAAAAAATCATATTGAGTACTGAGTGAAGGATGGAAAGATCATAGTGATTCAACACTGATTCAAACCATTACAGTTTTTCCCCAGTCGTGCCCCTTTATTTCCCCTGTGTAGCTTTAAAGCTGGAAAAATAATCTCGCCTCACACTGTTTGACCTTGTCATATACTGTATAATCTGGATCTGCTGGTTTCAACATTTTGAAGCTATATGATGTTTACACAAACACAAAAATTTCCTCAGTTTCCTATGATTGTACAATTCCATCAAATAGAAATATTCCAGATATCTTGTGAATCATTTAGACACATTTTCCCAAAAGTCAGACTCATATTCTTGTTATTTTTGGAAAGTTTAGAGTCTCCACTAGAATTTGAAATAAATTTCTAAAAGAGTCTGAACTGTATTACAATGCAACAATAACATACTTTACTGGTAATGAAAGTCGATATGATCTTGTGATATATTATCTAAGCACATTTTAATTCTATAATTTAGTTTTTCATGACATTAATGGAAATCTGCCCAAATTCATTAGATTAATACTGATGCATTAATGTGTAAGCAGCATTTTAGTGTCATAGCTGATCAAGGTGGAGCTAGTTTTAACTACTTTATTTACAGTCTGATGGTTTCGTTCTTTTGTCTAGTGGTTTCCAACCTACAGTTTAGGCCCCCTACAAAGGGCCACAAGATAAATCTGGGGCATTGTGAGAAAAAGGTAAGAGAGAGAAAGGGCAACAGAAACAAAGTTCTGCAACACCAATTTATTGTCATGTTTGTGACTTTTCCATTTAAATAAAAGCATGAGAAAAATCTAGAGGGGAAATGTCTCTCTGGTGGAACTGCTAACAACTCATTGATGTCTGAATTGAGACAAGGGGCCCAAACAAGACACAAAATTAAAATACGCAGTCATGTCCTTTTGAAAAATGAACAGTATACACGAAATGATGACCACAAATCACAGAGGTCGACTCTAATGAGACGGGACGAGGAGAAGCACTCAGCCTCTAACACCTGGAGTTTTACACTGAAGGAACAGACCTTCTCCTAAACCCCCTCTTCTACCTGCATGATGTCACACATGGGTGAACGTGAACAGACAGACTGACCTGCTCTGTGAGACGCCGTGTCCTCAGGAAGAATCCCAAAAGACACCCGATGACCACAGCCATCACCGACATGATGAGGAGCCCGTTCTGTTTGCAGACATTCTTCACCCTCACCCACACTGCGTCCAAAGCCACGGCCATCGTGAGTCACTTGTCCCGTGTCCTCTCAGCAACCCATAAATGTAGCCAACCCAAGAGCCTTAAAATCCAGGTGAGAGGATGAAAACAGATTTAAAAAAAAAAAAAAGAGAGAGAACGAAGAAAAACTCCAGGACAGGATGGGATGTTTTGCGAAATATCCAATCCTCTGTGATGTTTTACAGCTCCTTCGGGCTCAGCATCCCTCTTGTCCTCTTGCTACGGCAATCTGCACCAAGCTAAGAAGATCCTCTCACTTTCCAGGCATCCCCTCCCACCCTGCTCCACCCATCAGCGGCCCTGTGAGTGCTGACCCACTGTCAGGGGGATGGAACAGCTGGCGACCATGTCCCTGGGGGTTAACATCCCCAATCCTGTTAGACCGCTACTGTATTAAACAGGTCTGAGGCTGGATTAAAGATCCATGAACAATTTGACAAAGGTTAGCAGAGTGGAGCAACCTAAAAGGCCTCTTGAACATGGTAGAATGACAAGAAAAGAGAGGATGCTTGAGATTTTTATAAAAGATAGTGGTTTTCACATAACAGCTACTCAACATAATGATAATAGAACATATATATTAGCCAAGGTCAGATCAAAAGCAAGTTTGCACCTATAGTCTCCAACAATAACAATTCCACTTAACGTGGTTGACATGGAGACAGCTTCTAACATTTCTCCATGTGCGTTCGTTTTGACAGCCCATTATCCTCAGGAATCTCATCCATATTGGATTTTCCTTCAATGCAGTGCAATGGAAGTAGAGTGCATTTAATGTTGCAGGAGTATGGAGGTTTGGGTGATGGATTATCATTAACAAAGTAGGTGGCTGATCCTAACCATGGACAAACAGGGTGCAAAGCACAGACATGCAAATGGGCTTTCACACGTGCTTGATCAAGAAGTTCAAACTAAAGGCAGGAGTCAAATAAAGGACACACACACTGTGTTAATAGCTACCAGCAATTTTAATAGAAAATAGTAATGTGTTACATGCCCAAGACTGACATTGGACACGGAACATATGACTATTTTCTATTTTCATGTGCATTTTTCTATATAGTAGTTTTTATGATCATTCCTTTACTTTAACTCATGATTTATATTTAACTTGACATTTGATGTATTGTATTTCATGTGCGTCTACTATTAGACTTTGGCCTATGTTTCAAGTTGTTTGTGTCCTCTCTATAGAGGCATGCCCCATCCCCCATGTGGGAGGCTCAGCCAGTGTTGTCCAGCTCTGCTCTGATTGGTTCAGCCTGAGGGACATTTCACATTGCCTGACTAAGATCCCTATAGATCGAAACATTGCTTTATTAAAAAATGCTGGGAGCTATCAGCACAGTGTGTGGATCCTTTTTCTGACTCTTGCCTTTAGCCTGATTCTAACCATACCTTAAGTATAGCTTATTTGCCATAATAATTATCTATCCCTGTCCATAGTGTAGTCGCCAGGTGCAGATTTTAAGAAAACAAAAATTTTGACATTATTTTCATTGAGCATACAATCGGTACTATAGCACACTACATCGGTGCTCTTTTCATTCTAGCCTTTAAATCATAAGCCGTTAGACCTGAGATGGCAAATAATTGTAACTGACTATGTGAAGGGATAGAAAAGGAGCACTGACTGGTCTGCTGGGCTATTATTGGAGCCAAAAACAGACAATTTGCTCCAGTTCATTAACTCTAATCCTATGGATGACAGCTGTGATTTGGGAGCTTAACCTTTCCTTAATGAGAAAAACTTTCTCAAAGAAAAAAAAATGTTTTATTTCATTATAGCCCATAAGATCCAAAACTCATTCATTCAGTATAAATGGTAAATAGACTGCATTTATGGAGCAGTCGGCTAAACTTAATGACCACTCAAAGCGTTTTACACTAATGGTCACATTCATCCATTCACACACACACTTTTTCTGAACATAGCACACACACACACACACACACACACACACACACACACACACACACACACACACACAATAGTACATCACTGGGGGCAATTTGGGTGTTCAGTACCTTCCTGGAGGTGAATGGAAATCTGAAGAGCCGCTTGTGGTTTAAATTACAAACACAATGTCAAAATCAATGAGCAGACTGACCATAGTTTGCTAAACTCCAGTGCCGCTAACTACTGTTGCAGGATTCAGGTATGGCACAGATTTTTAAGACATTTTTGAAACAATGGGTTGTTGATTTCACACAGAAGAAGACAAAAACAGGCTCACAACCATTTCCACTCAGGAACATGTTGTTCAGGAAGCACAAAACCATTCAATTAAAAAGCATACGTGAACTCAAAAATAATTAGATTCATTTCAAATTATTTATAGTGAACAGGAAGTGACTCATTTCCACTAATTTTATTCCCTGTTTCTGTTTCTCATTTTACCTCTTCGTCTTCAATCGGACCACAGACTGTGGAAAAACGTGGACATAATCCAAGCTCGAAAATCATGGGAAAATTTATTAAATTGATGACAAACCCTTAAAGTATAGATGCTTCCGTAATTTCACTTATGTGTCAGTCTTATCTCAAATGAAGGTGTTCTGGCTCAAATTATAGTGAAGTGTGCAGTAAAGCTGTGAATGCAGAATGCTTGCAAAAATGTAAACATGTATATAGGATCACAGTCACTGACGCACATTGGACAGAACAGACAAAAGGCAAATTATCTTTCCACATTCATCAGATTTAATTAACTTAAAATCCATTAACTGCACGAGCACTCTCAGCGAGCTTTTGCTGAAGATCTCTTAATAGTTCCTAACAAATTATCTCAATGCCTAGAGAAAAAATGGTTAAACATATTAAAAATGACATCTGAAAGAAAGACTACACTTGACTAGACTTGCATCGGACAGAGAGAACACAGACAATCAAATATTTTTATGTCCAGTGACAGATAATCAGTGAATACAAGAACAGCATCTTACTTCAACAAAGTAAAACTCAAACTCTGTAAATAGAACTGGCAACACATAATATGTGCTGTTTTGTATTATTCACTTGCATCAAATAAAAGCACATCAGCAAAGCACTCATTCAAAGAGAGAACAGGGGTTCCCGCTGTATGGTCTCCATCCAGTCAGTGAGTTGACATGTACAAGTTGTTGTGTTGTCCAATATAAAACACTTGCAAAATTGTGTGACTGTTTATCCAGAAAGCGCTGCAGCTTTGTCCAGTGACAATCTGTATTTAAAGGATCGCCTTCCTTTGCTGCGTGGTAGGGGAGAGGCGTGCATGAGAGCTTTACCATTCAGATGGATTTCATTCAGTAATGTATGTATTTAAATGCCTTATGAGAATAGGAAGGGGATTAGTGAAAATGCATTTGACTGGACTTTCACATGTACAGTAGCTGTCTGTATACTGGAGTCCTGGCTCATCACGTGCGATCTATAATAATTTCACCCATGTGTTGACACAGCTGTCATTCACCTTTGGATGTTAGCGTGTGGCGGGATACATACGGTGCTGTTGGCTTTAGTTAAATTCAAGCAGGAGTTTTCCAAACCTCATTCACTTTTTGTAGTATTTTTTTAAGCAGGAGTGAAAATGCTCTCACATGGCTGTGGCTCTCTGGACTGGACTAGTGGGAGAAAGTCGCTCAATAATCAGCCACACAGGAATGAGCTCTGATATATCAGTGACTCCTTGATGATTTTAGTGGTCAAAGGTCATGGTCATGGTGGCCTCACAAGACCTTGTGAAAACAATATGTGTGAAAGGACTGTACATAAAAAAAAAATATCAGCATTAGCAAGCCATAAGATGAAATATTCACTCCTGGATAAAGAAACAGAGAAAACACACACACAAAAATGTGCAGCGTATAGACCAAGCACTCAACCATGTGCATACAAAACGAAAAGCAAAATGGACAACCACAGTGCGGCAGCCAGGGCAGGCTAAGTGAGGCTGAAAGCTGATGAGAATAAATGTGTTTTGATTTTGCTTTTAAATGAGTCCGCAGAGCTAGTGTCTCGAAATTGGACAGAAAGACCATCAACCATCAACCTACTGATGTTTTTTGTATTTCAGGAATGGTTCTCAGAACCCTAACAGATATAGGAGGAGTGAGATGATAAATAGGATGGTGCAAGTCTATGTAATATAAAAGTCAGAAGTCATGGATTCACCCTGCTTTTAGTTTTTATGCTAAGCTAAGCTAATCAAGTCCGAGCTCTAACTTTTCTCGTCTAACTTTTGGCAAGAAACATATTTTCTGAAATGTCACACTACTCTTTAATCTCTTTGTCAACAGACGAGTCGTACCTCAGGCTGACCGGTGCAGCCTATAGTAGTTTGTGGGTTGTCTGTTTAAAAGGGAGTTTACGGTCGGGTCTGCGAGCCACAATTCTTGGTTTTAACACACACTCCCGTTGTGTGTTTGCACAGGTCCTGCCCTGGACTGTTTTGTCTGCCGCACAGATTTTATTTTATTTATTTATTTTACCCAGAGAGGAGTTTTAATCTTCTGTTTTCCCAAAGCTCGAGTGATTCAGGTCGCTATGTCCTTCACAGTCTGTCCTCAGGATGAGACCATGTGTGCAGCAGTCAGGTCACACAGATTCAGTTTGTCAATTTAATTCCCCCCTTTTAAGCAGTGTACTGCTCCCATTTGGCTTGAGGTACACTTGGATTGAAGGAGTTCTATGGAAAAAAGATATTGTAGTAATTGAATTATTGATTACAAAAAAATAATGACTGAAAAAATGGAAAGCAAAATGACACAATCAGTTTTGATTTACTGTAGCATCTCCTATTCTAATTTCTTATTTACTTAGAAAATGTGATGCAGTATTTTTATGGCTGGGAGTCAAGTGCAAAGATAACATACAACTTAGATACAAAGACATACTCACACGCGCTAATTGCCCACACATACACCCTCCTCTCATTCTTTTGCATTACATGGGGAAGAATCATGAATGAAGCCAAGTGCTGTGGCGTGTTGTCCGTGTGTGCGGGAAGAGCTACATACTGTAT